CCAAGAAGGTGAACCGCGCGATTCTCAAACTCGCATGCTGCTGCTAAGAAACAGACTTCGGGCAGAGAAGAATTAACAAAAGCATCCCTACATCGGCCCGAGCTCAGCGCAGTGATTGCGACTTCGTTGGCGGTGGGGAAGCACCAATAAAGTCATCGAGATAATTAAATATTTTAAGTCCGCGCCGGTTGAGAATCCAAGTAACTGCAGAAGGGGAGCGTTGACACGCGGCAGAACGGAGGCCCATAGTTAAAACTATGTCAAAGTAAAATTGACCGTTCCATGTATAACCAAGTAAATGATAATCATATGGATAGATGGGGAATTGGTAGTGCGCTTTCCGTAGATCGCGCTTGTATAGCATGCAACCCCAACCGAGTAAAGCAGTCGCCGAGGCAATGGCATCAATAGTGGGATAAATCGATTCCAGAAGCTCTCTGAGAAAGTAACCAGAAGGAATACCATCATAAACTAATGAGCCACAAGGCCAGCTCAAATCGACGATCACTCTTCGTTCGTTAGAGTCACGCTTGACCACCGTGTTGAGAGGAGAAACGGTTTTGAATTTTGGACACTAGTGGCCGTTTTATCATTGTGGACGCTAGTGGCCGATTTATGATTTTGCACACTAGTAGCCCATGTATCATTTTGGACACCAGTGCCTGATAATCGTTTTTGGACAGAAGTGGCCGATTTGGGATTTTGGACACTAGGAGCCGATTTTAGATTTTAGACGCTAGTGGCCTATTTTGGACTCCCGGTAGTGGCCGATTTTTTATTTTTGGACGATTTTGGATGTTGGGCACTATGGCCGATTTTGAATTGCAGACACCAGTGGCCGATTTAAGATTTTTGGACACTGGTGGCCGATTTACCATTTTGGACATTAGTGGCCGATTTTGGATTTTGAATAGTAGTAACCGATTTTAGAAGTTGGACTCTAGTGGCCGATTTTGGATTAAAGAAACGGGTAGGAGGGCTAGAGAGGGAGACGTGTACGAAAAGCTTTGCAGTGCTTATTATTGCCTCGGTGATTATAAACAAGCCATAACGCACTTAGGCCGGTCTCTAATCATTGCCAAAGAAATGGGTGAAAGGATTACAGAAGGAGACATGTACCACCAGCTTGGCTTCGCTTATAGTTGTCTCGAGGATAATATAGAGGCTATAGCACGCTTATATCGATCCTTAATCATTGCCAAAGAAACAGCCAAAAGGGCTAAAGAAGCATGAGGGTCCAACAATCTCGGCGGCGCCTATCATGACATCGGTGACTATACACAAGCCATAGTATATTTCTAGCAATCCCTAATCATTCACAAAGAAACAGGTGATAGGACTGGAGAACAAGCTGAGTCCTTCAATTTGGGCCACATCTATAGGGACATCGGTGATAATACACAAGCCATAGTATGCTTAAAGCATTCTCTACTCATTGCCAGAGAAGTTAATTACAGGGTTAATGAAGGATTTACAATCTTGATCCTTGGCCAGTATTATGAGAGCCTCAGTAATATTAAACAGGCATTGGACTATTACATGGAAGGTCCTAAAATCGCCCAAGAAGCAGGAAACTGCGCCTTAGAAGGACGTTGCTGCCGTGCACTTAAGCGGGCTTATACGTATCTAGGACAATTTGAGCATGGCCGGCGAACAGTATTGCAAGATATCTCTTTCCATTGCTAAAAAGGTTGGCGTATAGCCATTTGGGATGTTTTATGTATTTACTGGTAAGTTAAGCACAGCGAAAGAATGCTTCAATAAAGTACTAGTCATTTGTAAGAATGCCAACGATAGACGTTACGAGGGAACTCACTCTTGCAATCTTAGGAACGCTCATATGTGTCGTTGCCATTTTAAGGAAGCTCTTGAGTACTTCAGCCGACACCTCAGCATTGCAAAGGAATTGAAAAGCAGAGAAGGAGAAGCATGCGCATACTGCGCTTTTAGGAGCGCTCGCTCCGTTCTGGCGACACTGTGGGCAATTATCACCTTCAGCCCCTCTAAACTTATCCGCCGTTCTACCGCTCCCCCATGGCTCTCGCAAGTTATTCGATATTTCGTTTTAACTAATACTAACCTATTTATTTATCTATTTATTCACGGTTTCATGAATAAGACACCATCCAGTAGCACATCCCTATTAAGGAGGTAAGTTTTTTAAAATACTGTGGTGCTACGTCGGTGGGAGAGTATAAAAGGGTAATTTAATATTATCAACCGAGTTGATAACGTAAATTGGCCACCGTAAAGAGTTTAAAAGCTGACGTTTTAAGTCTCAGCCCTTCGTCATTCGCTCTGACGAAGGGCTGACGAGTAGCCTATTTGGGATTTTGGACACAAGTGGCCAAATTTTGAATTTTGGACACAGTGTTCCATTTTGGATTTTGGACACTAGCGGTTGATTTTGGATTTTGGTCAGTAGTGGCCAATTTATCATTTTGGACTGTAATGGCCGATTTGGGATTTTGCACTCTAGTGGCCGATTTTGGATTTAGACACTGGTGGCCGATTTTGGATTTTAGACACTAGTGGCCAATTTTAGAATTTGGAAACTGGTGGCCGATTTGGGATTTTGGACACTACTGGCTGTTTTATCATTGTGGACGCTAGTGGCCGATTTGGATTTTGGACTCCAGTTGCCAATTTATCATTTTGGACACAAGTGGCCAGTTTTGGATTTTGGACTTTAATGGCTAATTTATCATTTTGGATGCCGGTGGCTGGTTTTGGATTTTGGATGGTAGTGGCCGATTTATCATTTTGGACACAAGTGGCCTATTTTGGATTTTGGACACTTGTGGCCGATTTAGGTTTTTGGACATTGATGGCCAATTTTAGAATTTGGACACTAGAGGCCGATTTGGGATTTTGCACACTTACTGGCGGTTTTATCATTATGGACGTTAGTGGTGATTGTGGATTTTGGACAGCAGTGGCCAATTTATTATTTTGGACACAAGTGGCCGATTTTGAATTTTGGGCACAAGTAGCCGGATTTTGGATTTTGAACACTGGTGACCGATATATCATTATGGGCGCGATTTTGCATACTACTGGCGGTTTAATCATTATGGACACTAGTGGTCGATTGTGGATTTTGGAAACGAGCAGCCAAGTTATCATTTTGGACACAAGTGACCGATTTTGAATTTTGGACACAAGTAGCTGAATTTTGAATTTTGGACGCTAGTGGCCAATATATCATTATGGACACAAGTAGCTGCTTTTACATTTTGGACACTGGTGGCCGATTTGGGAATTCGGACTCTAGTGGTCCATTTGGATGACATTAATGGCTGACTTATCATTTTGGACACTAATGGCCGATTTTGGATTTTGGACAGCGGTTGCCAATTTAGCATTTTGGACACAAATAGCCGATTTTGGATTTTGGACACAAGTGGCCGGTTAGGGATTTTGGACACTACTGGCCGTTTTATCATTACGGACGCTAGTGGTCAATTTTGGATTTTGGACCCTAGTGGCCAATTTATCATTTTGAACACAAGTGGCCGATTTTGGATTTTGGACACTAGTAGTCGATTTTAGATTTTGGACGCTAGTGATCGGTTTTGAATTTTGGACACTAGTGGCCGTTTTATCATTGTGGACGTTAGTGGCCGATTTGGGATTTTGCACCCTAGTAGCCCATGTATCATTTTGGACACCAGTGCCTGATAATCGTTTTTTACACAGTAGTGGCCGGTTTTGGTTTTGTAATCTATGGGCTGATTTGGGATTTTGGACACTAGGAGCCGATTTTAGATTTTAGACGCTAGTGGCCTATTTTGGACACTCGGTAGTGGCCGATTTTTTATTTTTGGAGGATTTTGGATTTTGGGCACTATGGCCGATTTTGAATTGTAGACACCAGTGGCCGATTTAAGATTTTTGGACACTGGTGGCCGATTTACCATTTTGGACATTAGTGGCCGATTTTGGATTTTGAATAGTAGTAACCGATTTTAGAAGTTGGACTCTAGTGGCCGATTTTTGGGTTAAAGACAATAATCGCCGCTAGTAGCCGATCCTGGATTTTGAACACTAGTGGCCGATTTTGGATTTTGGAAACTTGTGGCCGATTCTGGATTTTGGACAGAAGTGGCCGATTCTGGATTTTGGAAACTTGTGGCCGATTCTGGATTTTGGACAGAAGTGGCCGATTCTGGATTTTGGACAGTAGTGGCCGATTCTGGATTTTGGACAGTAGTGGTCAACTTTTGATTTCGGACGATAGTGACCGATTTTTTATTTTAGACGTTACTGGCCGATTTTGGATGTTACTGGCCGATTTTGGATTTTGCACACTAGTGGCCGATCATATATTTTGAAATGTGGAAATTATTTATAATTAACAGACGAAAGTGAAAGAAGCAAAGCTTAATCATTATTGGAGCTTAGAGGAAAGAGGAACAGTGAGGTTATTGAGCTAGCCTCTATTAATTATAATTACTGTTACAATTGTCATCATCATTATTATTATTGTTGTTTTATTGTTTTAAAATATGATTGTTTGTTACCATTGTTTATTGAAGTCAATTGGTCACTATATTTTCATCTTTTCTTGTGGAACATGATACTCATAAATATCTGGGATGCGGCAGGTTTTCCGTTTTGCATGTGAATACAAATATTTTGCAACACTACCTTCAAACGTCATTATACAACCTCTAGTTCTTTTCATGGTTATAAAAATTGTGCCATATCAGTAGCCACATGAAGTCCTACATGGCCTTTTTATTAAAACATCATGGGTATTGGTCTCTCAGTGCATTTGGATTTCGTTCATATTAGAGATCAATCATCTTCCAACCAACACTGTTTCTATACTATCAATTATCTTAATTTGTCCTAATTTTCCAGGCGAAAATCGAACGGTCAACAAAATCGTTCACCTCTCGTTCAAATTGCGCCTACACTCATTGAATCCAGCGGATGTTAACGAAAGAGCTTCTGCTGAGAGAACAAACAGACTGTAACCACAAAGTCTATTCATATTTTGTTTGACTTTTCAAGTTTAATGATACTTTGTCATATATATAATGAAAAAATAAAATAAAGCAAGATTAAATATGTTGGGTTAGTGGCTGAGGAAATATATTCATTCCTTCCTCTGACTACTTCGCTAAAGTACATGTATAATATTCAAATTGAGTACAAATTAATATTCCACTGAAAAGTGAGAATTTTTTGGAATATATTCACGTCATGAATCGTAATATTGAAAAAAATATATACATATATATATATATAAATATCTGTGTATCACGTTGTGAATTTCGCTCTTACAGAATCCGTCCGACGGAAGAAAAATACAAAATTTATTCGTTAAGGTAATATGGAAATTTAGAGGCTAAGAGCCCAACTCCCTCCCACAACGGAATATCCACTAAAAATAAGAATTTTTTTAAGTCTGTAGACCTTCATTGTTTTCTTGGGATACGCTCATTTAGACCTCTCGGAAAGGCCCTTCTATTCTGCACGAGGAGTTCATCACCCTGCCCCTCTCTGTCACCGATTTTTAAAACGTTTATTTCGTTCGCCAGTGATAAAAGAACTACTAACGATCTGAAATTTTCCACGACAGAAATATCAGCCAGGATCAATATTACAAACATGTCTCCTTCTCCAAGTCTTCTCCCCAAAGCTGCAAGGAAAGCAAAATGGGGATATATTTACCCATACTGCAATATATAAAGTTGCAAAGTGGGAACGTGAATTATTGCATTGATATGTGTACCCCAGGATGTCCCAGAGAATGCATTTTCCCGCGCACTTCCAAATGAATTAAGATCATGTGATAGTCAGAATATGCCTCAGCGTGCGGACATGAACCAAAAACAACGATCCATGATATGAACCTTAATATCTATTTTAAGTCTCAAGAACACTAGCAAAAGTGCCCAAAATGTAAGTAAAAACATTAAAAATATCCGAAAGATCAGAATGAGAGTTGACTGTATCAAAGGTCAGAAACTCCATAGTATTTCATGGTACACTCGCTCTTCGCTATCAAGGAAAAGACATGCGCATCAGTTTTGTTTAGCCGTCGCATGATTGTGAAACTTACCGCGTAGTCACGTGATCTTATGGCAGATATAACAGCGTCATGAATGGATGGAAACATCGCATGATGTGGAATGGCCTGTATGGCGGCCTTCTTAGTGGAACTTGCGAGCCTTTTAATGAGAATTGCTGTGGAGAGACGATATTACGCTTACTAATTAAATTCTTAAGTCAGAGAATCGGACATCACGCTTAATAATAATAATAATAAGAGTAATTTTTTTATCGTGAATTCCGCCCAAACTATGATTTAAAACTTGAAAAAAGGAAATACTCACAAGAGCAACCAGCCAGGTATATCTGAACTCCAGCTTTCTTGAACTCCGATAGAAGCTAGAGGATGAAAAGAAGATTTCTCGAATAAATGCGAAACAACTGATAAATACACGCAGGGTTTAGCAATCACCGTTGTAGCACTATGTAGCAACCATTGCCGACGTAAAAGACAGCTTTTTATGCGCGTATCCAAGGATTTACTGACACCGGTGATCGTCGGTCAGTGGACGGAAAATATTCCTTTCCGCCGTGGAAAGAGATTTTTCTTGCGTTTTTCAAAAGTTTCACTGCAGTTTTATCGTTATAAGGTAACACGAGAGCTGGAGCTTAAACAAACTAAACGCAATGTTTTGCATGCGTGTCATTAATATCCAAGTGAGTCGAAACTGTAGCGGAATTCCCTGTCCCATATGCTCTGTGATGTTACTTTCTACATAACGCCCGGTCAATCACATTAACGCTAACTCTGGTTTCCCTTCATTACGCACAAATCTTTCGCCTTTTACTAAAGATTTCCGTGGAGGAGAACAGTTGAATGAGTTTGTAAACCAATTTTTCGTCGCCCTGCCTTTCGGCGGGGCTCACAAAAAATGCAAATTAACTATTCATAGGAGAGAGGAAGAAGGTGCCTCCAACGTACTTAAGGAATTTAAGAGACAACTGACACGTGTTATAAGCGCGTCTTACGTCTGCAAAAGTTGCGAACGAGTCTGGTACTGTCATACTGACAGGTAAGGGTGGAGGATTTTTGGGGATCACATGGTTTCCAGAAGGAACAGAAAGGGGATCAGTCGTCACCAAAAGAGTGTAAGGGGAGACTATGGAAAATTGACTTCCAATTAACTGCCAATGAGGAGGGAATCGTATAGAGCCTAATGGGGAAATATCAGGTAAATTCAATCGTGATAAAACCAAAATCCTTTAACCTTCAACCCACCCGGACCCCCGACCCCCAGAGCCCCCTTCCCATCCCATCCAGCCGATAAAAAATGACAAGTCCCTAAGCTTGGTACTTACAGATGGAAGCGCATGAAGTCCAACCGAATCGATGAAAGTAAAACTGCTACAATCAATGACGACAGTGTGAATACAGGTTTGCGGCTCGTCAACTTCAACAGCACTTGTCCTTGGAGTCCTTTTCTTTTCCAAAGGAATTGGTTTCTATTTAAAAAATTGGGAAATAATCAAACATTTAAACAGTCAAGACAATTACGCGCATGTTCAAAACACAATGCGATAGAATTTTCCCGTCATGATCACAAGAGGGGAAGAACCTCGAGAGATATTAACGGCTTTGGTGCTAAACGTAGACATCCTACAACTATGCCAGCATCGCAGAGGAGCAAACAGAAGGTTGAAAAAAAAGTGTCGTCAACATCCTTGACTCAAAGATGTTGGTTTCTATTCTGTGACGCTGGTGGTGACACCCTGATTGATCCAATTGCTGGAATGTAGAAAGTTTATCGCGCAAAGAAACACTAGATCTAAATACTGTTCTAAAGAAACCACCAACCGCAATAATATCGATGTCTTTCTGAGGTCCACTATTGTTCTCCACGAACGAAAGGGAACGTAACTTTACTTGGACAATCGATTTTACGCCAGTATTCGACTTATTACTGCGATTACTTTATAAGGGAGTTACTAAATCTAACTTACACCATTAGGGATCTCTCCGTTACAGTTTCCTCCATTTTCACTCTCGAGAAGATCATATTTTTCGTCGTCGTTTCCAAGTTTGACCCTTTTGCGCGCTTTCTGTTGAGAACTGGGATCCAGTCCAGAAGCACTAACCAACGCATTTCTGAAGCGCTCCACGTTACCAAAGTAAAGAGGGGACTCGAGTCTCAGCACCTTCACACCAGGGACCTCGAAGGCCTTTGAGGGAAAATGTCACATGCAAGCGTTATTGTTTGGTGATCAAATCGAAGTCGGAAATGACATTTCACACAAATTTTGGCCTATAAACCTGAATCCACAATTGATAACGCTGATCTTTGGAACGCGAACTTACAACAAGCACATATAAAGCGCTAGGGAGAAAGAAAGTAACTACAATAAACTACTTTTCAAATTTAGACAAATAACGTACCGAGGGACATTGCTTGATGTCACGATATAACTCAGTTGCTTTTACTCTTCCAAGGATTGTGTGCCTGGATCTGAAATGGAGAAATTTTGAAAAATACAGTTTAAATCAGAGGGGATGCAGAGTTTGATGTAGGGAGAAACGGAAGGTCCTACCTTATAGACATAGAACTTCTAGATCTCTACGCAAAAATCAAGAGCTCATGGCGAGCTTTTGTTCTTATCAATCGATAAGATTTCAATAAAAACTTGCAACGTCAGCTTTAAAACTCAAAACTCTTTGCGGTGGCTAATTTACGTTATCAACTCAATTGACAATAATAGATTACCCTGTTATGCTCTCCCGCCGACGCAGTACGACGGTTTTTTTAGAAACTTAACCCCTTTATTCAAGCTGTCAATAAAGCCGTGTTGCATACTACAATTGACCACTACCTACGCTAAATAAGTGAAAATAAGGAAAAGGAAAGAAATCAACATAGATGTAATCTTTTTTACCTGGAAAGGGATAAAACTACTGCAAATAACGCACAGATCACTCCTACACCCAGTCCAACATCAACTCCCAACAGTATGACACCAAAACAAGTGAAAAACCATACAACCTGTGAGATTTCAAAACAAAACGGAATTAACATTTTTTATACATCTTTTTGAAAACTTCAATTGATTAGCATACTGATCTTGTTTTACTATTTGTGGTATTAATCTAGTTGTTAATTCCCTTTAAGCCTAAAAATGACAAGCATCTAATTTCTCCTTACAATAACACCCCTGAATCACACAGGAAATGATAACCAACTAAAGAAGCTCTTGATTGTAAATAAATTCTCCTTGTCAGCACCTTAAGAAATGTATAGAGAACAGTAAGGAGAATACGTATACTGATGTTAGGGAGTAAAGGATTAAGAGAGAACTATTTACCGCATCAGGTTTGTGAATTCCCCATAAATCCCGCAGCCTTGAAAATTGTCTGAGCAGGCCAACGAGATTGGCGATCACAACTGCAGCTAGGATAGCCTGGATTAAAGCAAACATAACTCGATGGACTCAAAAGTAATAATAACCAAAAATAACGTTTGCAAATCCAAGAAATGACATATCAACAGCATGTGCCAGCGCAGGAAATTTTGAAACGTGTAGTTCACCTTTGGAAGATGGTAAAAAAGTGGAGCAATAAACAGTAGAACGAGAAGGATCAAGGCGATCACAACCACGCTGCAAAGCTGTGAAATAATAACACAAAAGAAACAATCAATCCGTGAAACATCCTTTTGCGCGCGCAGAACACTTCTTTTCATAATTGCTCTAAATCGGTGCTCTACGCAGAACTCACTCTACACCTCGTAAAACATTGGTATGCTGAACAAAATGACACTACTTATAAACACGACGGTTTTTGCACTTAACGTGAGGTCAGTGGCCTTTCAAATTCAAGGAATGATTCAAAAATAATAAGAAAACTGTATTCGGCTAGTTCGGTTACCTGTGTGTTTGCAAGGTTTTCCTGTACCGCTGTACGTGCTAAAGCGTTGCAGATCGGGAAACACGAAAAAAAAGAGCCAGCAATGTTTCCTGCTCCATACGAAATCAGCTCCTGAGATGACAAAAGTGAAGAAAAAAAGCAGTATGATTACAGGGATCTGTGATTTGTTAAACCAGAGCCTTAATGTCCAACTCAGTCTGACTGAGCAGGATCAACGCACGCTAAACCTGATGTTACCTGTTTTACAGTTGCCGCCCATATCGAAAGTTGAAATACACTTATGTATAAGGACGTTTCGACAGAAAAAATGATCTGAATACTCTACATCGCAATCTCTTCGCTGACGCCTACCTCTTTAAAGGGTTGAGGTAAAGTCTTCCATCACCCAATTTATACCAAGACCAATAATTGATGTGTTGGCAAAGGTTATGTTAGCTTATGAGCTACAAAGGGCCGTCCCGGCGGAGTTTGTCTCAGTTTCAGCAGCATGAAGCGATTGGGTGTATTTCTACTTCCCCCATTTCAAAATCAATTGTACTGCAGGCAATAGTTAAGTCAGGTAAGATGCTAGTCCATCACAGGGAGATATCTTCCGCATTTCGATAGTTTTCCCTGACAGTCTACCAGCGCGCATTCAGATTCCCTGGCAGGGGAGGGGGGGGGAGGCACAGTGAAAGAAGAGTGTCTTCCCAAGAACCCAACACCCATCAATGCTTGCTAAACAAACCTGGTTTGGTTCGACTGCGTAACCACGCTTCTTAGCAAACATTTTGGCTAGTGAGATGTTTGTGGCAAATATCACCACTGCGATAACAAAGGCGTCTGAGGAAATGTTCGATATCCGGGATAAAGATGGTACACTCAGAGGAGGAAGTCTGAAACCGAATCAAGAAAATGAATCACCAAATAAACGTGAAGAATTTCTTGAGCACTGGTTTGTACGGGAGCTGACGCAGGAAAAATCTTCGTCGCAATTCGAACTTGGGACAAAAGTTTGCACAAAAGACGCAGTTTGTTAAAAGACAAATGAACTTCTTCTCGTAGACAACGAAGCTACTAAAAGCCTATTAAAATAATTTTGTGCCTATAAATGATATCAGACTTCGAATTTAAGCCATACGTAGTTGCAACCGAAATATCATTACCGCGAAGGTTTAATTTTAAGGAATGTCACATAAGGGAAACTGCTCCCGCTCTATGTTCAAAGACAAATCGTTGCAAAGCACCATGTTACGTGTGTCTGACACACCTCTACGCATATTACATACCCCTTCGGTATTTCTCCTATGATCGATGTACCAAAGTTCGCATTGATGGCCGCACCATATGATATGGCAGTTCCGACAACAACCTGATCAGATAAAAAAGGAAATAAAGGTGAGAACGAGCCGGTCCTCGAGAAAACAGTATTGAGAAGGTTGACGGAGGGAAGCGGAAGGGCGGAGAAAGAAATTTAGTCCGTTATTACTGGGTTACAATCAAGAGGCGTGCTAGGCAGGTAGTCTTGCTATCGTAGTTCTCCCCATCCTCATTCCCGCGCGTCTCTTAATTCAAGTTGTTTCCTATTTCAAGTTTATGAAACTACGAAAAGCTTGGCGAACAATTGTAACTTGTAGAATGTCCGCAGAATTTACGCAAGTGACAAAATCGTGTCTTTTGAGCGCCTTTGTCTTCGAAGTTTTCCTTGTTTCCCAAGGACGTAGCTACGGGAGGGGGGGATCCTGGGGTGCCCTTAACCCCCCATTTGTAAACCTTTTTTTAAGAAAACAACCAACAATATTCAGGTGGCGAAAACTGGTGAGTACCCTCAGTTTGACACAGTGTGTTCCCCCTTTGAAAATCCTGGCTACGCCTCTGCAGTAAATGAATCTCAATTGGAGGAAGAATAGAAAATGCCCAAGGCACTGTTTCATATCCACTGCTACTTTCCTACAAGCAACCCGATGAAATAAATATTCTTACCACTAGAAGTTCTGCAGGGATGGGAACTTTCAGTTTTTGCTTGAATCTCTCATTGACTTGTTTCAGTCCAATTAACAGAACAAGACAGAGCACGCCTGTAATTACGGCTCCAATGTTCGCCGAGGGAATGTTTTTCATCATATACGTGAAAATCTGAAAGCAATTATCACCATCGTTGGTTTGAATCATTGAAAAGGTTAAGTCTAACACTACGTCTTGATCGCTCTGGATTTATGTCGTAAAATCTATCTTGGAAAAGAATCCAATATTAAAATTTAGTGGAGCACGAGAAGCAACAAAATAGATACGCGAAGTTTCATAATTAAGTAGTGAGGAGAAACGATACAAAGAATCTAAAGCCTAAAGAACCTGGATTTGAGCTTTCTTTCAGGTAAGCTGCTCCGAGGGATATGATTTTACAGTAATTTTGGTAGAATATAAGCTAGTGATTTTTTCAAACTTCGAGATTTCTTTACCAAGAATTCGGCAGATGGTTTGAAAGAACAGTGGGCTCATGGCATAGTTACCTTCACTGAAGCAAGTGGTCCAGTGATCTGAGGAACTTTCAGTCCTAGTATATGCTTCAATTGGCTGATGACAACGAATACCGCTGATCCTGTGGTAAAACCGCTGATCAATGGATCCGACAAGAAAGTCGCCACAAATCCCAGCCTCGCCACTCCCATGATGACCTACCGTGAAAAATCATTCTTTTAAACTATTACTTACATTTTGTAGCAAGCAAATGGTATATCATTTTACCTGGATGATACCAACGAGTAAGGAAAGGGAAATGGCGACCTCCATTTTGGCTGACTCGAGGGGTGTCCATAACCCGGTGCTTGCACCTGTCGGAGAAGGACTGGACATCGAGCCATTACCTGGTGTGGGACTGGGTGATAATGGCATGGAACCCACTTCACGTTCAACAACTTGAGCCACCATCAAACAAATGACTGCGAAACTACCTGTCACGTGACAACAACACCAATCATTAAACTGATTTCTTGTCTCACTATCAACACTTGTCAATGACTGGCTTCTAATTTTCAGTTTTAATAATCTAATTTCTCCTCACAATATCACCACTGAATCCCACATTAAGGTCATGAGAATGAAGGAAATGATCACCAATGGAAAGCGCCTTTGATTGGTAAACAAATTCTCCAGTCAGCGCCTTAGGAAATGTATAAAGAACAGTATGGAGAATATGCCTACTGATGTTAGGGCGTAAAGGGTTAACACAGCCAAAGACTGGTGCATAAATGATAGCATCATTCCTTCAAGCTGCAGAAATGTAAAAAAAAGGAAAGGAAAAAATCCACCGTACCTACAGACAAGTGTCGTGATGTACCCATGATCATATAAACCAAAACTGGGATAATGGCGGTGTAAAGTCCCGTGACCGGCGGAAGAGAAGCCAGCATGGCGAATGCGAGTCCTAGAAGAGAAAAAAATGACGTCAGATGCTAAAGATGCTAAAGCCATGATAATTTTCGCAAACTACCCACGGCTATTAATTAAGTCTACACAATTTGTGCAGCTGATAGCTCCCGTCGGCTAACCCCCGGCAGTGATCCACCATCTCCCATTCTTCTCACTGCGCATGCACCTCCTCTTGCATTTGCGAAAAAATTCTTCCGTCGATAGAAACGAAAATGAACGCGCGATGCTGGTCATAGATGACGTAAAATGAGGTAAATAAAAGACGGAAAATAAAAAACCACACAAATGCTTTAAAATCACTATAACTCCAAAACAATAAACGCCGATTTCAGCAGAGAGACTCAAAATCTCCGAAGGGTTTGATGAATTGTTATTGATATTTTGACAATAATTTCTCGCGATAACACTGAAAGCGAACTGCCAAATTATGTCCTTTGCTCCAAACCTATAGAAAAACAACATCAACAACACTCACACATCAACAAAGAGCAGTTTCAATAAAATGTTTAACTCTTTAACGCCTATGAGTGATAAGTAACCATTTTCTCCATTCAGTATCACCCCTAAAACAAACATCGAGGTCATGAGAATAAAGGAAATGATCACCAACTAAAGAAGCTCTTGATTGTTAAGCAAATTCTCTTTGTCAGTACCAAAGGAAATGTATAGAGAACATTGCGAAGAAAACGTATACTGATGTTAGGGTGTAAAGTGTTAACCAGCGGCCTCAGAGAGTGCGTGACCTCACGCTAAGAAGTACAATGCAAAACGTCACGCGATGGGCATTTTGATGGAATTTCATTTCGCTTCATTTCGAATTCGATTTCATTCTCGATGGGATCTTACACGATGCTGGTCAAAATATTATCATGATCCGACCCAAATGAATAAAGCCAAGTAATTTTTGTGCAGTCATATTAATGCTGGTCGGTCATTCCTTACTGTTGCTGAGTTCGAACCGATTTTGTTTAATGTTTGGTTCGAGAACGCATCACGCATAAATCGATCAGAGCTGTTGCCAGACTATATCTTAAGGTGGTAATTTAGTGTTATCAATTGAGTTGATAACGTAAATTGACCAGCGTAAAGAGTTAGAAGGCTGACGTTTCGAGCGTTAGCCCTTCGTCCGAGCTCACTATCCATGGATCAGTAAAATATTGCTATACCTTGAGGAATATGCATAACTGCCAATGTAACACCACCATTTGCGTCGGGAAACAAATCTTCTTTGATGTTGTATTTTGGTAACCAGCGAATAATCGGCATGAGCCGAGCCAGAAAAGAGATCAAACCACTCCATGAACACGAACTCAGAAAAAGCTTTCGTTGAACGACATGCCAGTAATGGCTCTTCTTCGATGAGCCTTCCCCTGCACTCAGTGGACGGCCATGGGGTCTTGTTGCAGTGAAGAAGCTTTCCTCGTAAACGTTTCTGGCGATATCTATGTCAGGGCTTTGGCGGCAAATTGACCACTCTTCAAGCGATTCCATTTCATTTTACTCTGCAGACGAGAGTTTTGCCATTCACCCCATATTCAAGCGTATATAGAACTTACAGTCAATGGAAACAGGAGGTTAGGTAGAAGCTTGGGAGTCACTTGACATTTATGACTCACACGTGAAGAAAAAGTAATCGAGGAACATTTCAGCATTCACTCGGTGACAATATGAGTATTGGCGGTATTTGGTTACACTCGCGATTCGCGTGTGCAACGAGCAGCATGCGCGTTCGAGAGGACACGCGAAGGAAGTTGAGGGATTTCTCAGTCTAGAGGCCCGGCTACGCAGTCATTTCTATTACCAATGGAGAATTATTTAAAATATAATTTTGAAGAATGGCTAATGGTGGCTTGTTCACTTTTGCTACTCGGGTGTTAAAACCGGACTGTCTTGCTATACCGGTAACCTCACTGACACAGAATCACAGTTTCTTTATAAACTTGTTCCCTTCATTCCATTCTCAGTTATCCGAGTGAAAAAGCTAACACCCAGTAAATGCTGGCGATATTATTGTCTTGCAGTTTACAGCCAATGAAAGAGTTAAATCTTTCCTTGTTTCTTCAGCATTTTGAGAACATAGATATGCACTCGTCTTCGGTAATAACTGCTACGTAATTATATGGTCGAATGCCATGTTGAACCTTCAGTTTATACAAATATTGAAGTGTTCTATTTACTGGAAAAAGAACTAAGCCCATACATACAGGAACAGTTAGTCTCAATCATTCGTCAAATTTGGTTGTTTAGAATCTAATTACTGTGACAACAAAAATAATATATACTGCGATGATCTTCATTTGCTTAAAAAATAAATAAGTAAAGATTTGGTAAAACATTTGACAATAAAAATCTGCGATAAAATATTATAAAGCATAACACGACGTTTCGACGTTTCCAGAACGTAATTATCAAGTAAACTAAAATAATAAAATCGAGTATATATATAATGAAGCGGTGAATAAATTACAAAGCGTTAAAAGTTAAACAAAGAGTTTGGCCCTAATGGAATCGCTCTGGGTGTTTAAATTGGGCCTTATTGTTCTTATGTACAGCATTTCATAAACAAGACAATCCCATTTCGTGCCACATTTTTTAAGCATTCTAAACTGGCTCTCATTGAGTAAGTCAATGTTCCCATGGGCATCTCTCAGGTGGCGACCAATGGCAGAGTATCGATGATCAGTAATGCGTTGAAACAAATGGCGCGTCGTATATCCGACGTAATTTGAATCACACAAATCACATTTAAAACAGTAAACAACGCTATGCTGATTTACGATGCGTGGCTTGATTTCTTTAAGCTTTAGGTCCTGCTCAAGTTTCTTACTGGTGTAGACTGGTTGTACATCAATGCCAATTTTTGAACTGAGATCGCGCATTTGTCTTTTGGCAATGTTCACTGAGACTTGATCTTTGAAAGGAATACTGACTCTTAAAGTTTCATCAGATTAATATTTTGTTTGTAGAAGAATGCCGTCGAATAACGGCGGAACTGTCTGGTGCTTGTGTAAAATATTCTACTCTGTCATGCATGAATTGAGTGCAATCTGACAAATTGACTCATTTCTGTCATCTATGATATAAACTGATCAATGAATTTTTAAGTTATAACGAATCCTTGAATAAGAAAATGAACGTCTTACAGTGGAAAAATACTTGGGGTTTTTCCACTGTGGTCCAGTTTACAGAATTATACAAAGTTCCATCACTGAGGAAATAATGGGGTTTTCTCTCTGTACAATTGATAAGATAAATCCAATTTATTATTTTTTTAAATATTTATTAGTGCGGGTTTTATTCCGGGGGCCTATATTACCCACCATACGATTACGGGTTAACAAGGCGACCGTTTCATTTTAATTAATATTACCCCCTACCATCAATGACCGAATATTGCTTTCGCGTTTCCGCCTTTAGGTGACTCGGCAAATTTTACAGAATACTCCAACGTGCCAGACCGGCAAAAAACGTCATCCGTCAAATTTTCTTCGCAGTAGATCAATATTAAAGGAAGTGCGGTTTGTAGTTAATTTGTTTGTTCCTTTCAGTGCATTTGTTTACGCACAATATACATAAAAACCTAGAAACGTTGTTATTTGTGTGACAAAATATAATATTTTTCAGACTTTTCAGCGATCGAAAAAAACGAACTCGCGGTTTTGCATATCATTTGTGTGTGCTGAGTCAAAACGAAACTCAAATAGGCAATATTTTCTTTACTGTTTCCTGTTAAATGCTTTTAGATTACTCATAGAGATAATTAACTGCTCTTTCTATCAGTTTACCGGCGTGATAACCCACGCGGAATGTTGAGAGAACACAGGAGAAATGTTTGTAAAATACGAGTCGAAGGTGAGTATTTACAAACTTTTCTTTCTCGTGTTCTCACTACATCCCGCGTGGGTTATTGCGCCGGTAAACCGATAGAAAGTGCGCTCTATTGCTCCTATAAAACACGTTTTTAACATTTCGATATTCCGAGGATTAACGGGTAAATCATATGTTTTTTACCGTTCTGGACCCTTGTAGTGTCTTAAGTATCTCATAACATCAAATAAAGTATGCGTTGTAGGCGAGTGAAGCGGTGTGCGATCGAAGTACTTCAGATGCAGATCGGACGTGAATTTAACATTCAATGGTAATCACAAAGTGTGGTCTGTTGAGTAGAAATTTGCATCCCAGCAGTAAAATGACTCGACAATATCGGGACAAGTGCACCCGGCTGTTTAAACTATGAAAGCCCTGGTTTTCTGGTCTGTAATATCATATCCCCAACCGTTGATGGTAAGGTAAATACCTGGTCGACGCTCCTGTCAATATCGTTGCCACAAAAATTGGGAAAAATATATCTATGACGGCAACGAAAAAATACATCATTGTATCCGCAATGAAAAAAAACACCTGTCGCAATACTGTCGATTGCTTGACGACGCATTATCCTGTTGCATAAATTTATGTTAAAAAAAACTTTAGAAAACGAATCTGGTTTTAACCAAACTTTGGCCTTTAGAAATACAAAAACGGACTTGGGAAAATTTAGGCGGCAATCTATGGAACTTGATTCTGCTGATCAGTGGCCATAACTTCAGTTAAGTCTCCGAGAGCTCACGTGGGGTGACTTGAGCTCTTACAGAATAGCTAAGTTGTGGGACGTAATTAATTTTCTGATGATCTGATCGCATGATGTGTGAAGCAAAACAAGATCAAGAAAATTGAGGGTATCGCTAGAATATGGCCTCATTCAGTTTTATTTGTTCTGTTCTTTTTTTTTCTGCTTTTTTTTTCTTCGACCTTCCTGTATCTAAGCGATTTTATGAAGTGCGAGATGTTGACAGGTATTTTTAATTTAATTGTTGATTTTTTTTTTCGAGTTATGGCGAAATTTCCCAAGAAGCTTCGAAATAAATGTGTGGGTAGGCTTCCCTACCTTATTCAAACCTTTCGCGGTCAATAAGCGTAATTCTTATATTATTAACCTATCGCTTATTTTTTTTTATCGAAAAGATTACCTTGAGGAATATGCATGATGCCAACTGTAACACCTCCAGTAATATCAGCTGATAAGTCCTTCTTTACGCTGTATTTTGGCAACCAGCGAATAATCGGAGCAAGACAGACAAGACGAGAAAGGAAACCATTCCACGAGCATGAGCAAGAGGCAATTTTGTGGTAAACTTTTGAGAAAGGACTCTTTCTCTTCGCCAGTTCTCCAGAGCTTGAATCACCATTTGTCTCTGTCAAACACCTTTCATTATAAACTTTTCGTCCGATTTGAATATCGAGTTTTTCATCACAAATTGTAGAGTATTCCTCCATTGCAGAAGAGCTGACTCAAGCGGAAACCCTTCGATTGAAGCCACGACCGTTATCGTCGGCCTCTCTCCGTGTTAGACCAAACAATTTTAGATTTTCCCTTCTCTAAACAAAGGAGTTATTAATAATCGCGTGTATGACGTTGATCTCTAATGACAATAAGCTTCAATGCCCGTGCAGAACACTTGTAACTTTCTATATCCGCTTTGAACTAAGCCATTATTTGTTCAAATGACGATATCGCCCTCAGTTACAGTTATCCAACTACACCCAAAACATAGAGGTCAATTATTCAAGCGTGATGAAGGTTGTGAAAACGCATGACGGCTCTCTCGGCGGAAAGATCCACCGAAAAAATCCAAAACAAAAACATAAATAACTATGATCCTCTCAGAAACTAAGGAAAAATTATTTTCAATCAGCTCTTCGTTCGATTGATCCCTATTTGTTTCCTAAACCAAGATGATAAATAAACAATTTAATTTGAGTGAATTAAACTTTGCCTCTTGCACAATGATATGAATATTCACTCGAAAAAGTTTGCCTCTATCGAAATGGCTTCGTACGTAACCGAAACCTCTGGTTCCACCGAGAACTCATCGCTTTTTTCTGATGGAAGGAGGCTGATGAAAGTCTAAGCGACCTCCATTATATCGGGAATAACAGGTGTAAAGTTCTATAATACATTTCCTAACAATTGTAAAATAGCTTAGGTTGTGATCTTACTTAATCAATTGATTTTCAAGTCAAGTAATAGCCTTCGTGAGCCATGGAAGGAAATTTCCGGAAGTGACGTACCAATCCAATCCACTTCACACATTCAAAGAATTACGATTTGAAAGCCACTCAAAAGACAGGCGATATCGCGACAGAGAGATCTGTGAAATGATACATATTTATTTCTCCTCTCTCTTAATTCGTATTCAATTAGGATCAATTAACTTCAGTATGAACATGACTTTTAGTATTGACTGTTGGCGAAGTCTCCTCGTACCCGCGCTCTGTTGAAAGAGCAATGATATTCATAGCCCTCGGTCAACAAAATCAGGCGAAAAAGCGGGCCTCTCTTTGAAAAATCAACTACCGCTCAACGCTCGCTTCAACCAAGAGCTGGAACAAGCTACGCTCTTCATATTCCGCTTCTAGACAGCGATATGGAAAAACAGCAATAATCGAGATATCTACAGGAGTTTAATGTTCTTTTAAGGACCTTTAAGTCGGCTTAGTGCATTTTATATTCTTCAAGGAACTTTAGCTGCCAAACTGTTCCACCATATTTCTCAAAATTTTCTCTTCCCATCAGACGAACCAGGGCCTCCTGAAGAGTAAAAACAAAAGTACACACACGCTAAGAACTGAAACGAATAGTTACGTAAAACTGTCAATGGGTCGAACAAGCGAGCGATCGATGGTATCAACGAGGAAACACACAAACTAAAAAACAAACGAACAGATGAAAAAATGGGTAAAAAAACAAAACGAAAAAATTTAACATATGCAAAGGTACCTAAGTTCAATCAAGCTTACTTTGAATATCGCCATCGACGGGTTACATGACACAAGTTGAAACACGTAACATGCATAATACAAACAATGAACAAAATGACAGGAAGTAAAGCTTACCTCAACATAGTCTTCTTCCTGGGTGTTAATAATATTATACGCTTCTGTAAGCAGGTCTTCGCCGATTCCGCGTAAACATTCCCTATAAAAAAAAAAGGAATGAGTATGTTCGATCACAATGGCTCTTTCTCGGGCACACCCTTTATGTAAACGCGCATCGCTAACAAAATGTACGAACCTCACAAAAAGACCCACTTTAATTTTCCTCTTTTCTTTCCTTCTTGCATGGTCTCATACATTACCTACTCTGGAGCAAAGCCATTCTCGAGCAACCAGCCCCTTCCCTAACCCAACATTAACCCGAACATGTTATTAGTTGACTATCGCTGGGTTAGGGGAGGGGTAGGTGCGTAGTTGCTCAGACAGTGACGTTGATCCCCTATCCTTAACGATTGTCACCGATCTAGAGCTTCGCATTGGACTCTTTTTAGCAAAAAAATTGGCTACCTTCTTAATCGCTCTATTCGGTCTCGTAATCTCCCGGATGCTGTGGGCGATCCTCCTAAAAAGGGAAAAAAGTTATTGATTATTCCTAAGCTGACTGGATAAGTAACACTTAAATAATTTTTTTGGCTCATGGTGTGGTCCTTCCATGATGGATCGATTCATAATCAATTTTTTCCAATACAGCCAAGTCGTCGAGTCAAATATAGGTAAGATCCTTTAAAAAACTGTAACTTAATCCATACAAACACTGTAGAGTAGCCCAAAATCACGAGGTTGATCAGAAAAGGACCCTCTTTGTGCTAGAGTACAGTAAGTGGCTCTGTCTTAAGGTGATGTTGCCGCCGACATGAAAACATCTTTTTATAAAACTTGCGCGTGCTGGGCGGCAGAGAAAAACTTCAGAATGGAATTTTATCAGGGACAAGAGAGAAAATGGTAAGATCAGCCATGCAATATGTTGTCAACTTACGTAAGAGAATAGCCCCCTTCAGAGTTTGAAGAGGGTTTTTATTTTAGTATTAAAAGTAAAGAAAAAACTGATTTGCTTATATAGAGGATATTACATGGCTGCGCGGGGATACGAATTTTATCTTCGAGTGCGGCCATGTAATGTTCTGTTTATTTTATTTATACAAATGAAATTTCAAAAGAACCGGCCGCGCGCCTGAGCGGGAAGCTCTCTTGTAATTGGCTAATGTTAGTTACCATGGCGACGCCAATATCCTAAAACGTGAAAGATAAAAATTGTATCTTCACTGCGCGTGATGAAGATATGATTTTTTAGTTAAAGGAAAAACCCTAGTATTTCACCAGTATCTATATAATAAACTCTTTTAAGTTTCCTCGCAACGGCACTTTAAACGGACTAACTTTGAAAGTAGAGAGAAGTTTCTTTCTTACCAAAAGGTACATCCAGGGGTTCTTCCTCTTCTGGTGTTTCAAGCACAGCATCCACATCCGGGGAATCTCTGTCAGCGCCGGCATTTGACATTTTCAAGGTGGTGTCCAGTGCAGTGATCAGAGACGTGACGTCACTTTGCCTGCGCGGATTCCTACAAAGTATTTCACATATGGAGGTCACTTTCTGAGGAAACTGTGTTGCTGCGTCGGTGGGGTATCACAAGATAATTTGGTTTGATCAACTGAGTTAATAAAGTACATTCGCCACCGTAAAGAGTTTTTGAAGCTGATTTTTCGACCGTTAGCCCTTCGTCACAGCAAATAAAGGATTTTTTGGGTGTCTGTGGTTCATGTAAGGCCTCTGTTAAATTATTTGGATTAATTTTCTGATGAGTTTTCACATTAGTTCCGGATTGATTTGGTTTTCTTTGCTTCTCTCTGCTATAAGTTTGCACAAAAGTTTGCCATCGTCTGAACCAATCATATGCTAAACAAAGACCGGTCGTGACGAGATCCCATGCGTTTTCACGCTCCTCAGTTTGCATGCCCTTTCAGTCCTCATTGTCCTTTCTTTCAATTTTCCAGTGCTGTTATTGTGGTGTCAGTTTTGCGACGCCAAAAATTACTCTGAACATTCAAGAGATGGCTGGAACATTTTCTAAGCGCTTATGGATTAAATGTTACTTACCTCTGCGCAGAGGCAGAAGGTTCATCCATATTAATTTCCTCCAGCTCCGAGTCCGAGTCGCTGTCCTGTTCAACTGATTCCTGGACACAAAGATGAAACTTGCAAATTTAGCATTTTTTTTCCCTACATATTGTGAGCAATTGAATGCTAGCCAAGAAGCTGTAAGAACGATCTGGTCTCAAACTTGTCACGAGCGTCAAAGAAATAGAGAGAGGGGAACCCTCTACCCTCTCGAATGCTTCCTTCTCGGAAACCCCTACCCTCTCGACCACTTCCTTATCCGTCGCATTCTTCAACTCCATTGCACGGATGCTGATTTGATTACGTCTTCTTCGAAAGCATTGAATAGACAAGCGAACACAGCCAGGGCTCGCTGAAAAGACTCCAACAATGAGACTGTTCGCATTCAACGGAACTTTCTTTCCTCTTAAGAATTAAACGCACGAAACATGCATATAGCAGCGTAAAAAAAATCCTTGCTCTTTGTACTGATGTAAAGTACGGTGCAGTATCATCCAATCTCGTCAACTCTCGGCGGCAAGATTTCCTTTTGTAAACATAACATGATCTCTCTCAGGCCTGCTTATTTACTGGCCTAAATGATAAAATTCTGTGAGGTTTGAAGAAAACACGCATTTTGTTATAATTCATTCATTAACCCACCGTATTTGAAACATTGCCGGATCCTTGTCGCACGACAGGCCTGGCTCCATCTGGGATATCAAATCCCTCCGAACTCAGCTGACGTCTAGGATCGCCGCCCGCTGACCCCTGCCTAGGAGTGGCTGGAAAATGACATAAAGAAAGGTTAGAAAATTAGATGGGAGGCTCGGTCAGCCGTGAAAAAAAGGGAAGTATGCCAGTTTACGTTATCAAGAGGGATAAAGAAGGACGAGTAGATCAAAACAAGCTGGATTTCTTTAAAACATGAGGCGTTTTCAAAGCGACAACAGCTAACTGGTAACTTCACAACGAAGGTTAGCAGACGGTAAGCAAGAGATTTGAAATGAATGCAACGGGTTTTCAAATTCCAAAATAGGCAACACTCACAGGAAAACTATTTGGGTAAATATTTCTGTGACAAATACAACAAGCGGTTAACTACTCTTAAATAAAAAAGAACCCTGGAATGGGGGATCTAGGCTCGGATTGCAAACGTCGACCATGACAAGACCAGTACAAAGTTTTCTAGTGCACCACAACTTACCTCCTGGACTGCTCTCTTGAGAACGTTTGACCTTGGCGGCGATCACTTCACTAGGTGAGGGAAGTACAGGTGCTGAGGGTGGGGTAGGTACGTTTTTGTCACCCTTTTGTTTCTGTTTAAGACGTCGTCTTTCACGGGCCGATAAGCCACTCTGTAAATCAAGTCAACACAATAATGACCATACATAAAGGTTTGGCTATTTATCACATAAATGCATACTTGAGGACAGCGTTTTGAGTCATTGA